GATTCTAGGAAAGGCATGCAGTTAACAACCTGCCGCGTCCTATTGCACTATTCACGCAGTCCCACCCCACACCCTTGTTTTCGCATAAAACCCACGCTCCTCTTGCAGATCGCGGTCGTATTCTTCCAGGACAGTCATGTCAACAAGTAGAGAAAGTGAGGGTGGGCAGACACATCGAACTTTCCCATGATATCAGAGAAATTCAGGAATGAAAATGACCTTACATACAAGGTTGATGCATTTGTGCATGTCGTACTAAGCAAGGTATAAAAACAGTTGCTTTATGAGGAATTAGTTCGTACCATTGAATATTTGACACAATAGACAAGGTGTCGCAGAAACCGATGTTGCTATAACCAAGTTTTACTGTAAATGTAATTTTCAGAATGAGTTCCCATACCCACAGTCTTTACTGTTTAGTTTTTGAGACCACCTAGCACATGTTTCTCTACATTGACCTTAATCCCCTCTCTTCTCCTTGCTCTGGTTCATAATATTGCAATATATGAGGGTAAGTCAGTAAGTAAGTTACAAGTGGATATAGAACTTAAGCAAATAAGAGTACTGATTTGAAATATGCTTTTTATTTCTCAACATAATCTCCCTGTACATTGAGACACTTGTCCCATCGTTTCACAAGCCCCTGAAAACCAGCAGCATAAAATTCTTTGGGCTGATGTTGGAACCAGGCGGTGATTTCCCTTTCTACAGCTTCATCATTGGGAAAATGTTCAGCCGAAAGATGTTTAAGAGGGCCAAACAAAAGGCAGTTGCTTGGAGCCATGGAGATTGCCTCAGAGGCAAATGTGCAATGGGTTGAAGACTTAATCTGAGCAGACAGAAGGGTAACTATAGACACTATAGCCACTGCTATTGGTTGTTCACACGGCATGGCCTACCTCATAATGCATGACAGGTTAGGTTTTTGCAAAGTCTGTGCATGATGGGTGCCATGCATGCTGACCCCACAACGCAAAATGCAAAGAATGGGTGTCGCATTACAGCATCTTAATCGCTACCATGATGGACATGATATGCTAGCCCAAATTGTCACAGGTAATGAGTCTTGGGTTCACCCTTACCAGCCCGAGACAAAGTGTGCGTCAGTGCAGTGGAAACATCCTGTGTCATCTTTCGGCTGAACCTTTTCCTGACGATGAAGCAGTAGAAAGGGAAGTCACTGCCTGGTTCTGACAGCCGCCAAAAATTTTATGCTGCTGGTTTTCAGGGGCTTTTGAAATGGTTGGACAAGTGCCTCAATGTACAGGGAGATTATGTTGAGAAATAAAAGCATTTTTCAAATCAGTACTCTTATTTGTTCATGTTCCATATCCATTTCTAACTTACTTATTGACTTACCTAGGTATCTCAGCACACTGAACCTGCCCAGTCTGTTCCCTCATCCTCAGTTGTACTTATCCCATAATGAGAGCTGTGCCATAGCTCAGGAGGTCAGTTGCCAGCTTCCCACCATCGTGGCCCTGGTTTGATCCCAGGTCAAGCCACATGGGATTTGTGGTTGACAGAGCAGAACTAAGGCAGGTTTTCTCGCAGTACTTTGGTTTCCCTTGCCAGTTCTCATTCCTTTGACTGCTCCATCCTCACCTATCAGTCAGGGCTGCTACAATAGTTTCAATGGTGGCCTGCATACCAAATGGACTCTGTCTTACACCATCCCACACAATAGCCCATAATGACTACTTTTATCTCTGTCATTACCATCCTGGTTCATGAGCTCAGATGCACTTATGATGATACTTTCCACATTGGAAAAACTAAACATCCCATTCTTCCCAGGTCCAAGTGATCCTTGCTTTACATATTGTGGCATAAATGTTGTATATTTCTTGGAGCACTTTCTAATTTTTAAATATATGCTCATCAGCTTCTGTATTCTCTCTATAGGCATTGATATGCAGTTACCTATTTGCTAAATAATCATTTCGGTGGAACGTTGCAGAGTAAAGAAAATATATGGTGCCTTGTATTCAAAATTTTTATTTTAATGTATGCCTCCTCCTTTCTCTACAATAAAATTTACATATTTTTTCTTAAATCTTATCTGAGTTGCATGATGTTACTCCCATACATGAAATGTGCCATATATAAAAAGATTCTTTAGGATCATTATTTCACGCACTTCTCAAATGTTATTAGGATTACTGGCATCCATGCGCCACCTTAAAAATGAAGTGGATTCCATCAAGAAAGATGTTGAATGTGGTGTTCGGCTAGAAGATGGGACCATTACTTTCAAACCTGGAGATATTTTAGTCTGTTATCAGACAAGGAAAGAAGAACAACAGACCGACTGGGATCCAGGATTTTGAAAGGTGCTGATGCTTTGATGAAATTCCCATTTTGTCATGTCTAAACCCCAGATCAGAATTTTCTTCAAAACAATTTTCAGGCACGTAAATGTCTAGTACCATGAAAACAGTGCCCAAAGTTATGCCCACTGTAAAAACTTCTGTAAATAAATACATACTACTATGGAAGTTCTCAAATAAAAATATGCCTTGGTTTCATTCTTGGATAAAAGATTTCTTGTGACCATATTCATTTTTAAATAAGTCATTGATGTTGATTTTCAAAATATATGAAACCATCTGCCATTAAATATGTGGAAATAGTTTTAAAGCTGAATGTATTCTGGGTATGCAGAAGGGGTTAGATCTCAGGATGGAATGAAACTTCATAACATCTTAAATTGAATTACCTTCTATTTTATGTTATTCATCAAACAGCTAGTAGCTATACTCTTTGAGAATCACTGCTTTAGCAGTAATTGGTATGGAAAGGAAGAACAGTATGATTATTTTCTGTTCCTATTTCATGCTGTCACCAGTGCCACCACATCCATCATTTCATCATACTACTCTGTCCAAAAAGTATCTGACCTTGGGCTGGGAAAAGAAAGTTCTGTATCTGGGTGGTTACAATACCTAATCGCCTTCAAAGTAAACCCCTTGTGACTCCACACACTTAGCCCAGCGGTCGTTCCATCGCTGGAAGTGATTCTGGAAGGCATCTTTTGGAATGGTGTGCAGCTGCGCCATCGCATTCTGTATGATGGCCTCGCGGCTGTCAAAACGGCAGCCTTTTAGTGGTGTCTTCAATCTCAGGAACAGCCAGAAATCACAAGGAGCCATGTCAGGAGAGTAGGGAGCCTGGCGAACCTGCGGAATGCCGTGCTTGGCCAGGAAACCCTGGATCAGGTGTGATGAATGAGCTGGGGCGTTGTCATGATGCAGCTGCCAGTTGCGTGCGTCCCACAGGTCCAGTCTCTTGCGCCGAACTGCATCACAAAGATGGCGGAGGACTTCTTGGTAGTACTCCTTATTGACAGTCTGACCTAGTGGTGCGTACTCATGATGCACAACACCCCGGTAAACGAAAAAAACAGTCAGTATCACCTTCACATTCCTTCGAACCTGTCATGCTCTTTTGGGCCTCGGGGATGTTGGATGCTTCCATTGTGACACCTGGATCTTGGTTTCCAGGTCAAAAAATCACGCATGCACATGAAAGTCCCTTCTACCACTACGCTCAGTTTCCCCACCTCTTTGGCCATTACTTACAGTGGAAAAAATTGAAGTCGGATACTTTTTGGACATACGGTACATGTAGCTAATGTAGTTATTAGCTGGTGCAGAAATTCCTTGCATTTTTGGCCTCTTCCATTGAGGATTATGAACAGAATTCTATATGCATTTCTCATCTGTTCCAAGCTACATGGCCCACTCTTCTCTTCACGCGTGATGCAGTCACCCTAGCAATATTACCTGAGAAGTACTGGGAGGTTCTTACCTTGGTTGATCAGTTCACGGGGACCAGTACACCCCTGATGGCGAGGTGCATATGGATTTTCATGATAACGTTTGGAATTAAGGGATGTTATTAACTTTGTGGACTGCTTGTTGACACTATGTTTCATCTCAAGCAGTGTGGTTCATGCTTGGGAATTTGGTCATGATTTGTCAGCAGTGGACAGCAGTTATCAGCTCCATTAGCCTTTGTTCTCCATGTGTTCTATCATGGTGCCCTATACTTTAGAGCAATGTGTATTTATGTTTAACACCTACATGAAATACGGATCTGCTAGAAAGTACTGGTGATAATTTCAACATAAATTTTGTGATGGAAGAGTTCCAGCAGACAAACAGTTTACAAATTGGTGAATAAACGTAGATCAACAGCACTCATAATAGTCATGAAACAAGAACATAAGTGTCAAATGCTTACTGAGAAAAGTTAGATGAGATAGGAGCCAGACTTGAATATACACTTAGAAAATCACTGAAACATCCAGCTCAAGAGACCGGAGTCAGAGTCTAATGCAAGAAGGGCAACACAGTTGCTGAAGCATAGACTCTATAAAACAACAGTAATTGAAGCGAGTTAAATGGGGGTAATCTGAACAATATAAGACATGAAACCATGAGGCATTTCAGGAATAAAAAGAGGGAATATCTGGAAAAGAAAATTGATGAGCTTGCAATGAAGAGTAAGAACAAAAACCTATATAGAGGAATAAATGTCTCTGAGAGGGGTTACCAACCTACGAGTAACTTAGTGAAGGATGAGAATGGTGATCTGTTTGAAGATTCTCATAACATTTTGAATAGGTGGAGGAACTACTACTCTCAGTTATTGAATGTACATAGGGTCAGTGATGTTAGGCAGACAGAAATCCATACAGCAGAGCTGTTAGTACCTGATCCTAGTTCTTTTGAGATTGAAAGTGCTATTGCAAAATTGAAACGGTATAAATCGCCAGCTAGTGATCAAATTCCAGCAGAACTTAT